TCCCAGAATATGCATTTAAGCATTTCAACCCTTTTACTATTTGATATATGACATTTTCTTACAATACATTTATAATTGATGCACATATTTACACTTGGCTAAATGGTTTGTTTATGTCCTGGCAGTTCAGGACTACTTAGCATTGGATTAACATTGGACTATGTTGGTGGGGTTGCCAGCTTTGTGCCAACCTAAATCTGGTACAGCACTAGTTAATTTACAAAATAGAAGATTATGTGCATAACAAGAGGAACTAATTGGATCATTTGACTGGTTCCATTGTAGCAAAAAATTATCCCTAAATTGATTTATCATGTCTGCTGCAATATCTCTCAGCTGTTTGCAATATGATTCTTTGCAGGATTATGGCCGCATTTATTTTTTTAAATATAAAACTTTTTTGTTTTCTTTCTTGGAACATATCCAAAATTTCTTCATGGATATTGTCAGCAGTGCTGCTTGTGAGGGAGGTTTGATTATATTTCAAGCTGTTTTTCCAATGTAACGAGCACATACAATTTTTCTGGCTGCTATCCACTAACAGTACAGTACTAAGACAAAGATCATTTAAGTCTAGCTTCACACCGATCGAGAGTTTCAGTGAGAGGAGTTGTTAATACTGCGTTTGGAGCCTTAGAATGTGAGATTATGGATGAGAGTAAACATTGATTAGACCGTTCTAGTTAAAGTTCTCTTCCAATAGTTCTCTTTATATTCCCAAATAAATGTATCTCTCATAGGTGAATAGAGTTTCCAGTGAACCAGTAGTTATGCATATATAATCTTAATGTCCATATTAGCAAGCTTAATGGTCATGGTTGGCCTTTTACAATATGAATGTTCATCACATTCTCAGTATCTTTTCAATTCAAGGAAAGCACATTGTCACTTTAACCAACATCCTTATGAGCAGAAGGAAGAAATTGCAATAAATACTGAAAATAAAATACTTAACAATAGTGTAGAGGTACCCTTTTTCAGAATGCAAACCTTGCACAACTTGAAAAGTGACTAAATTCTTGAATGAAACCATCTTTCTTCGACTGTGATGATACAAGATGGTATGTGGATAATGTGTGTTTCTAATTAGTGAAGTCCTATTCTCAAGATAAAAAGGAAATAATTTGTTTGTACAGCACCTTTAGCCTGAGGATATCCAAAATATCTTTAAAATCAATCAAATCACTTTTGTAATCAGTGAACAATCAGGGTGCACCACAAGGTTCTGCCAACAGCAATAAGTTAAATTACGAAATGATATTTGTGTACCGTTGGTAATCTGTGTCTCATGCTGTGAGCCACCAGTGTGTTGCCAACACGCTGAGATCCCTATATGTGACTACTAGTACTTCCCACTCAATGGTTAGACTGGATGGAATTTTATTCTCACTGGAGTGGAAGCTTGGGGAAATGATTGGGTGCATTGGCCATGGAGACGTACTTACCTCTTCTCATCACCTCACCAATTATATTCTGGACAAGAAGGCCCACTGGGGACTTCAACTGGTGGTGGGTTGAGAAAGCCCTTAAGTGATTATTAATGGGCCATCACTTAAGGGCTTTAACTCAACATCTCCAACAATAACCTGGTCATCCCAGCAAGGGAGAGAAATGATTTGTTCCCCAAATCCTAACTGAGCTGACCTACCTGCATCAATCTGGGAACAATCAGAAGCACAGATAAGAGGACAAGAGGGTGGCATCTGAAAGCCATCCCTCTGCCCTTACCTCTGACCCCTTCCCACCCCACCTGTAACACTATGCCCTGTGAAAAGCAAAAGAAGCAGCTTGGCTTTTTGCTTTGCATTCTCTGACAGTCTTTAAGAGTCAAATACCGCTGAAGCTCCCCGGTCAGTTCATAACAAGCTGATTGATGTACAGTCAGTTAGTTGAGGCAATGAGTTAGACAATACCTAATTTGGCATTAGGTAATACCTGATGTACCTGACCCCACACTTTAGTCTCAAAAATATTTATATCCTGTTATCCCTTTCTGTGAAGCGTAGCTACTTTGTTCTTCCTATCTTTACCTTTCGGCCGGATGTTGTCACATGGGCTCCACTGTGGCACACAGAGAAGCAATTGTTTAATGAAATAGAAAAAACACTCTTCCCCATGTTTACTGCATTTTCAGTCTTTTAACATGGCAGCATATTCAGAAACCCATGTTATAGTAAAGCCATACTTTCATAAATTGACAGTGTTGTGGATTCCCCAGACATCAAGTCATTTTAGCTGGAAATGCAGTGCACTTCCAAACCACTAGATATCCATCATCAGTGGCAGTCCTGTTATACGTACAAAATGCATAAGCCGCATTTCATTATGACTGTGATTCTATCGGTTTGAATGTCCTCTAGTGAATGGGTACTGATGATTCTAAATAAAGCTGGTGACAGCACTGCCAGGTGTCTTTGATAGCTGCTGTACAGTCTGTTCGACTGTAGAATGCATGCAGTACAGTAAAAGCTACTCTGAGCCAGCTGCTGTTCGAGTGAAATGAGGTCAAACTTGATGATTTGGGTGTGGAACTAGTCAGTGACCTCAGCAAGAGAAGGCATTGCTGACCGTTTCATGTTAATTTCTGATATGCTCATCCATTGTATTTACCTCCAGTGAAGGGACAATTTTTCATTAAACTCCATGACTTTAAGATCATTCAAAAAGCAATTGCGTTCAGCACATCATATAAATAGAGTTAATTTTTTCCTTACTAGATCTAGAGATACACAGCTGCTAATGTTGCAATTTAAATTCCTGTATCCTCTTTGAAGGCTAAACTATCGTCTGACTGGAAACAACCGAATCCACATTTGAATGAATGCAGCAACAAAAAGCAGAAAGTATACGTTTACAGAGATGTGGAAATTGTAGTATTTACAGCGTAATGGTCTGAATGAGATTATTATTGTGAATGGATCAATAAGCCTAGCACAGGAACTGTTAAAGAGGGAGCTTATAGTTTGGAGTGTCCTTCATATTAAAACAGTGTTAAGCAAAATTTTACACTGAACCACACAGATGGTCAAAAGATCTGTCAAAGGGAGAGGGTTTAAGGCCTACCTTTTAAAGGAAGAAATCAAACTGAAGATTTGGAAAAGTTTATCAAGGGAATTCAGAGCGTAGGACCGATGTCACCTGAAGGCATAGCCATTGATATTGGAGTGATTAAAACTGAGGATGCACAAGAAACTAGAATGAAATGAGTACAGGTACCTCAAGAGGGTTTTGGAGGTGGAGAAGATGACATGGATCTAGAAAGGCGAGACCGTGGAGAGATTTGAAAGCAATGCTGAGAATTCTAACATCAAGCCATTGTTTAGGCAGGAGCTAATGAAACGGAAACATAGAAAATAGGAGCAGGGCTAGGCCATTCAGTCCTGCTGTACAGTTCAATATGATCATGGCTGATCATCCAACTCGGTACCCTGTTCTTGCTTTCTCCCCATAGCCCTTGATTGCTTTAGCCCCAAGAACTGTATGTAAAATGTAGATCAGACAATAAATTAGTTGAGGGAGGGCTTGACTCTGTCAAAAAAGGAAGTAATTTACTATTTTGTTTCATCCTACACTATATTTAGAACATAGATGTGAATCCTGAAATTTATTAAGCTATATGTTAATGTTAGTTCTGCCCATGTTTCAGAAAGTATGAGTTGGTGCATATTCAATTTAAATCTTATGATTAACTTAAATAAGATTGGTTTCCAATTTGGCAGATTCTCCAGCAATCAGTTCAGCTACACTTTTATCAAATTTTCACTGACTTGGTGTTTTTAAATCGAGTGGTATTGAGTTTCTATTTGGTAAGAGGCCAATCTGATTGTGGATTAAGGGAGGGTGGGCTTGTGTTTCTGAAGCCTTTACCTGTGGTGAGTAACTTGCGTTAGGAGGTCAAATTAATTGTACAAAGCCCATGATGGTACAGACTGAAGTCAAATGGAGACAATTTTACATCCGACATTTTCTTTCGTTTTTTTTAAATTTTTTTTTCTCTTGTCATTATAACTGTATTGGGAATGCCAAGTTGGCTTAATATTCAGGAGGTCACGATCAGTGTAGTGCTAAGGGATTGCTTCATTGTAGGATGTGTGAAATCTTTTGAATGAGCTGTTGGGCTGAAGCTGTGCCCAACAATGTTCCCTGTAAGCTGTGCTGGCGCTACACAGCAATCTGGAATGCACTTCATAATGCAAAAATTTAGGCCATGTTCAACCAGCCTTCCCTCTAAGATTCACATGTGGCCATATAGCAAGCTTAAATGAACTACACAGTGCAATGAACAAGTGTCAGCAACAAAAAAAATTAAAAGAACATTAAATCTCATCATTCTAGTGAGAAAGCATTAGAGTTTATCTCAATTTCTAATTCATCTGTAAACCAATAAAATTGGATTAGTTGTTGTCCCATTGATTTTGATTAGAATTTGAACATTGGATGCCATGCCTACCTGAAAGAAATAACAAGTAATTGACGGTGAAACACTTTGACACTGTGTGAAGAGATATGAAGACACTATTAAAATAATAGCTTGGAGCATCTATTTCCAAAATGGGATCTAGGAGGTTTCTGTCAGCCTGGTTTTGGGCATTCTGACAGCACAGTATCCTGAAAATTGTACTTATTATAGTTTATTCACATTTCAAATTAATGCACATTTTTGGCAATGAAAGCGCTGTTTTTCTTTGGATTTCTGATAGACTTTTCCAAATTAGCATGGAGAGTAAGGGTTGAAGAAGGACAAGAATGGAGTGCCAGAAATATGTCAGTATTCACAAAGCATGCCTGGGCCATGTATATCTTTACAAAGAGAAGTGTTCCTTAGTGTGAGTCAGCAATTGCAGGTGCTCCCATAGATTAAAATCTTTTGAAAATTCGTAGATCAGAAGCAGTTAAATTTGGTTATCAAATTTTGCATGCAGTGAAACAGTTTGTATGGATGAGATCATTGTCTCATGGTCTCCCTATAATAGTGATGATCTAATTTCTTTTTGTTTTAGGTGCCCTGGCCTGACAAAGCATAGGGTTAAAATTGAAAACAAGAGGCAGTCTAGCTTGAAGATAAACCAAGACACAGCACTAGATGGTGCAACAATAGCTTCAGAAGGTTCTGCAGCAGCTGTTGTTTCACTCCGAACAGCTGAGCCTGGACTTGTTAATCCTGCTTTTGAAGAAGATCGGGAAGAAGATGGTAAGAATCCGCCTGCCTAAGCATTTGTATTCGAACCTTGCTGTCCAGACCAGAAAACCATCCATCAAATCCAAAATAGCTGTCCATCATTGGGAGGCATGGTGGTTTATTGGTTAGCACTGCTGCCTCTCAGCACCAGGGACCTGGGTTCGATTCCAGCCTTTGTTAACTGGGTGGAGTTTGCATATTCTCCCTGTGTCTGTGTGGGTTTTCTCTCGGTGCTCTAGTTTCCTCCCACAGTCCAAAGATGTGCAGGTTTGGTGGATTGGTCATACTAAATATGGGAATTATAGGGATTTGGTGGGGGGATAGGGCTGAGTCTGGGTGGAATGTTTTTTGGAGGGTTGGTGCAGACTTGATGGGTCAAATGGCCTTTTTCTGCACTGTAGGGATTCTATGATTTAAAATAACTCAGGCTTCCATTTAGTATTGAAACTGAAAATATTAGTCAAAAGTTCACATAATATCATGGTGCAACTTTGAAAGGCCGAATATGATTTAGCATGAGAGTCACTGCTGTAATTTGTCATATCACATGGATTCCTGTCTCATGCATGCAGTTATTTTATATGTTTCATATAGCCACTTTAGTGTCCCTCTTCAATGCATATTTTTCCAACTTTATATTGCCTTTTCTAGAATTAGTTAAATTTATGTTGGTTTAAGTTAGACAGGAGTACTTTTAAAAGAATAAACTAAAATTAAGCTTTGACAAATGAATTGTGGCTCAGTGGGCGTGGGTACCTGAAAATTAAAGAGGTGGCAGCTCATGAAATAGAGTTTGGACTTCCGAAGGAGTGGTGAGCTATTTTGTGAATTCGGTAAGTTCTGATTCAGGAACAAGTCGACTAGTGAAGAAAATCATTTAAGTATCCTGTGTCTCAAGAAATGAGATTCAATGGGCAAATGAAGTTGTAAATAGTGGGGGACAACTTGCAGGAGGAGGAGGCTCCACAAATATCCCCGTCCTCAACGATGGAAGATCCCAGCACATCAGTGCAAAAGATAAGGCTGAAACATTCGCAACAATCTTCAGCCAGAAGTGCCAAGTGGATGATCCATCTTAGTGTCATCCAGAGGTCTCTTGCATCACTTGTACCAGTCTTCAGCCAATTTGATTCTTGGTTGAAAGCACTGAATACTGCAAAGGCTATGGGCCCTGACAACATTCCGGCAATAGTACTGAAGCCCTGTGCTCCAGAACTAGCTGCACCTGTAGCCAAACTGTTCCAGTACAGCTACAACATTGGCATGTACCCAGGTATGTACTGTCCACAAAAAGCAAACAAACCTAACCCAGCCAATAACCGTCCCAACATTCTACCCTCACCAGTAAAGTGTTGGAAAGTGTCATCAACAGTGCTATCAAACGCTTACTAATAACTGCTCACAGACACATTGTTTGGGTTCCGTCAGGGCCACTCAGCTCCTGATCTCATTACAGCCTTGGTCCAAACATGGACAAGAGAGCTGAATTCCAGAGATGAGGTGACTGTGACATCAAGGCCATATTTGACTCCTTGTGGCATCAAGGAGCCCTAGCAAAACTGGAGCCAATGGGAATCGGGGGAGACTTTCCGCTGGTTGGTGTCACACCTGGCATAAAGAAAGATGGTCATTGTTGTTGGAGATCAGTTATCTTGGCTCCAAGACATCTCTGCAGGAGTCACATGGGTGCAAGGGGGTTGCTCATAAAAAAGCACCCCAACCTTCCATTCATTGTCCAACGTCTAGTTCTCTACCTCTCCCTACACCTTTCCATATCTATCTTTCTCTCTGTTTCATTACGTCTCTCTCTGTCTCTCTCTGTCTCTCTCTCCTTTCTTCACCTTTGCTCTATCTTTCTTGGTTGCCCCAATCTTTCTTCACCTTTCCTCCTCCCTTTTTCAACTTTCTTCCCTTCTCTCTCTGTCTCTGTCTCTCTCTGTCTCCGGTCCCCACCCTCCTCCTCCATCCACCACCCAGTGTCTCTCTCTCTCTCTTTCTCTCTCTGATTGCCACTGCCCCCCCATGCCTCTCTCTCATTCATTTCCCCCCGCCTCCTCTTTTTTGTTCTGCTCTCTCTCTCTTTCTCCAACTGTGATCCTTGATTTCATCGTCAGTGGTTTGATGGCTTTAGGGACTTATTGAAAATCTTGCAACAAGCGCTATCCTTATTGCAAGGCAGGATTGAATTTAGCAATGGAACAGTTAAGGTAGCAACCACTTGGAACTGTCTGTTCCTTGAATATTACCACTCTGAGATTGCTGGCTTGTATACATTTTCAAATCGATACAGTGAAAAAGGACTTAATCACAATTCTTCGATCAAAATTGGGCTCTCAACAATTTTTCATTCAAACATATCCATTGTTAAATTTTCTGTTACACAGCTCCTATTATGGTTTCTAGTTACTGGAATTAAGTTTCTTTCAGGGCTATGGATTGTAACTGATGTTAGGGTGCTTGAAAGCTGGGCTGTCAGCTTTTTGAAACAAATATTTAAAACTTGATTGGATTGTGGACGGACATGAGAAAATCTTGAGTGTTTCTTAGTTCCAGCTTCATCTTGAGGGATGAACAATTAAGTGCATGACACTGCTAATGTTTTTAAGAGTAAAATGGACAGTATACTGAGATCAACCTATAGACAGTGCTTCAGCAATATGTTGTTATAGAAAAGGAAGCTTTCATTTACTTGGCTAGCATCAATTACTACAATCGTGCTGATAGTTCCCAAGCACTTAATTGGCTTTGGTACTTTTGAGTCATTCTGCTGTTGTGAAAAGTGCTATATGAATGCTAATCTTTTCATATATCACACACATTCTCTAATTTTTATGTGTGTGTATATATAATCTAGAGCAAGAAATTCTTTTTATACCCATCTTTCATTATCTTGCACATAGACTTCTACAGTAAATGTAATAAATTTAAAAGTAATCGAGGGATTGATTGCAGTAAGTACTTTTCTCTGAAAAGTAAAAATTGTTGTTTCTGGTGGTACTTTTCATATCAGTGCTGAAAATATTATTTGAGGAACCCTACTTAGACAAAGCAACCCATTGTAAGGTTCTTGCTTGCATTATGATGATCCAGGTGGAGGTTTAGCTTGTTCAAACAGACTGAGAGGGTAACGCCTGTGAAAGGCAAATGCTTGTGACTTAGCACAAATCAGGCAAGTGCATAACATGTGAGGACTAGCATGGAATCCCCTACCCTGGAGGTGGGAAAGCCATTTAATGAGATGGGAAGCCACCTTCGTAACTACCACCAGAATGAAATTCTAGGGAGGATGGTCAAATCAATGCAGAAAAGCCAGTTTTCAACCTCCCTGACCCATCCCCAGCTGAGACCTGGGGTAGTGCATACTCTATCAGCACCTGATTTGAGGTATTGGACAACAGGCAGAGGAGTGCCTGCTGGGAGCCACTACCCCGCCATTACTTCTGATGTCCGTAATACTCCCCCTTTTTCCCCCTTTCCTCAAGCAGCTATCTCCCCCCATCCCAAAAACTCCAAGCCGAGGAACCTCGCACCCACTGGCTCAATTAGGCAGAGTCAATGTGGTTTCCTGAAAGGGAAATCATGTTTTACTGATTGACTTAAGTTCTTTTAAGAAGTCACAGCTGACATGGATAACTGGGAACCTTTACATGTGCCACACTTAGATTTCCATTTGACAGGGTGTCGCTATGCAAAATAAAGGCTCATGTTTTAGGGGGTTAGACAATAGGTAACAGGTAACAGTAGAAGTAAATTAGTCATTTTTCAGGTTGGCAAGATGTGACCAGTGGAATTCCATAGGGATCTGTGTTGGAGCTTCAACTGTTTACAATTTATCACAATAACTTGGCTGAAGGGACTGAATATATGTGAGCTAAATCTGTTGATGGCACAAAGGTGTGCAGGTCAGAAAAGTGATATTGATAAGTTAAGTGAATGGGCAAAGACTTTGCAGGTGAACTATAATGTGTGTAAATGTGAGCTTGTCTACTTTGGTAGGAAGAATAGAAAAGCAGCACATTATTTACATGGAGAGAAACTGCAGAACTCCTGAGTTAGAAGTATTTGGGTGACCTGACACATGAATCACAAACTTGATATGCAGGTACAGCAAATGATCAAGAAGACAAATGGAATTCTGTTATTTATGCCAAGAGAATTGAATATAAAATTAAGGATATTTTGCAGTGTCTAAGGGATTTGTGAGATCTCCTCTGGTATTGTGCATAGTTTTGGATCTCCTTATTTAAGAAAGGATATAAATGCATTAGAAGCAGTTCAGAGAATCATGTGACTGTCCCTGATACGGAGGATCTGCTTTAAGAAAGAGAGGCGATGGCCTAGTGGTATTATCACTGGATTATTAATTCAAAGATCTGGGTAACGTTCTGGGAACCTGGCTTCAATACCTGGAATGATGGTGCATCTGCACACTGCATTTGGTGGAATTTGAATCCAATAAAAGTTTGGAACGAAGAGTCTAATGGTGACCATGAAACCACTATTGATTCTTCAGAAAAGCCCATCTGGTTCAGTATCCTCTGGGGAGGGAAACTGTTATTCTTGCCTCGCTTAGCCTGCATATGGCCTACTGTCAGCAACTGCCCTCTGTGGAGTTCAGGGGAGGCAAAGGCCTAGTGTTATTATCGCTGGACTGTTAATCCAGAGACCCAGGTGATGTTCTGGGGAACTGGTTCAAATCCCGCCATGGCAGATGGTGGAATTTGAATTCAATAAATATCTGGAATTAAGAGTCTAATGATGACCGTGAATCCATTGCCGATTGTCGGAAAAACCCATCTCGTTCACAAATGTCCTTTAGGGAAGGAGACTGCCATCCTTAGGGAAGGTGCCATCTGTTCTGAGGAAGGGTCACCGGATTCGAAATGTTAACTCTGATTCTTTTTTTTTTCCCTCTATAGATGCTGCCAGACCTGCTGAGCTTTTCCAGCAACTTCTGTTTTCCTTCCTGATTTACAGAATCTGCAGTTCTTCCAGTTTTTAAACTGCCATCCTTACCTGGTCTGGCCTACATGTGACTCCAGACCCACAGCAATGTGGTTGACTTATAACTGCCCTCTGGGCAACTGGGGATGGTCAATAAATGCCTGCCTAGCTAACGATGCCCTCATCCTGTGAATGAATAAAGGAAAATAAAATTAGAGATGGGCAATAAAGGCTGGCCTAGCCAGTGATGTCCACATCCTCTGAAAGAGTAAAAGGTTGGTCAGATTGTGCCCGTATCAATTGGGGTTTGGAAAAATTAGAGGTGATCTTATCGAAGCATAGTGATTCCGAGTGGGAATTCACAGGATGATGCTGAAAGGATGTTTTCCCTTGAATGAGGTTGGAAGAATGAAGACTAGAACTAAGGGACACAGCTTAAAGAAGAGTATTTCATTTGAGACTGAGATGAGGAGAGCTTTTGTCTGAGCATTGTGACTGTTTGGAACTTTCTTCCCCTTAGAGCAGTGGAGGGGGAGGGCCATGGATCATTAAGGCAGAGGTAGGCAACCTTTGTCTCTCTTGTTAGTCAAGAATCTATTTGAGGCTCAAGGGCCTGAGTGTACCTGTCCTGATTTTGTTTATATGTTTCTATGTACCATTTACTTTTGTCCATCCATGGTGCTGCTGAGTGCAAGAGCTGTTGGTCTATGATTGACTGGCCGCTCTCACTGGGCAGGGTTCCCACTCGTGGCGTCTTGATTGCAGGGAAAGGCCTTGGCACTGCTTAATTGGCATGTGCTTCGGTGAAGCCTTCCCTGTAAGATTCAGAGCTGGTGTCTCACCAGCCGACAGGTGGAATCACTGATATTTCAACAGGATTTTCTGCTTGACCCTCAAGTTTTGAATGTTTTTGGAATGGAAGTATCCCATATTCTTCAGATAGTCATTCTCCTCCTACCCCATGGGTTGCAATTTATATTAACAAGGTATGGATTTATAAGAAGGCTCACTTAGTAGTGTATGTGATCTGAGAGTGTGTGTAAATTACACGAAGTGTTCCATTTCACAGTAATAACGTCCCTTTTTAATCTTAGCTAAGCCAGGAATTAAAACCCACTGCAGTGAGGATTTTGGGTAGTCTGCTGTCTTTTCTTATGAAACTGTAGTTCCTGCACTCTTTTTTTGAATTTGTACTGTCTGTCAAACTAGTGAAGCTAGTACACTGGCATGTCAATGGCACCACCATACTAAAAACTTCCCACTACTCCCTTTGATTCTCGTACCGCTCATAGTGAAATCTGTATCTCTACTGGTATGTGATGGAATTACTCTATCATGCAGAACGTGGTGACTGATGTGAGTGCATACTCCTTGTAACTATTTGTGTGGGCAAAATATTCTCTGCAGTCTTGTTAAGAGAGCTTGAATTGTTTTCTTCACACTGTCAAGTTACTCCATAAAATACAATACTGCAGTAAACTGAAATAAAATACAAAATTCTGGATATATTTAACAGGTTGAGCAGCATTTTGTGCTTTTGTCAAAGGAATATTATTAGAACATTAACTTTTTTGACTTTTTTTGAAGATACTGCCTGACATGGTGAGTGTTTCTAGCATTTTCTCTTTTTTGCATTGGTCTTACTTATATTATGACATTAATTTGTCATTTAATGTCCTCATCCATCATTCATTTGCTTATATCCAAAATTTCCAAACTGATAAACAATAGACTATGAACAAATTTTTAATGTCTATGCTTCACTGCTAATAAGTAGCAGTAGTATTGCATTAGATTGGGAACAGGGTAACTTGTCCACCCTCCTATGTACTTGAGCATGTGTTTGTATCAGCCAGTTCCTAAAGGTGGCTGGGCAAGTAGAAAAGGTGATCAGTAAGGTATATGGAGTATTTTTATTCATCAGAGAATTGGAGTCAAAAGGTTACGTTGGAACAGTATGAAAGGCTGCAACTGGTGTACTGTGTGTTTCTGGTCAGTGCACTATCAGAAAAATATGATTGCTCTTTTGAGGACACAGGAGATTTACAAGGATGTTACCTGGACTGGAGATTGTTAGCTACGAAGAAAAGTTGGATAGGCTAGGGTCCTTCTCTTTGAAACAGAGAAGGCTGCAGGAGACCGAATTGATGATGCAAGTCGAGATAAAGCGGAAGGCCCAATTCCTCTAGATTGAGGGATTCATAAGCAGTGTAGGGGAATAGATTTAGGGTAAGAGGGGATTCAAGGGGGAAATGCTTTCTCACCCAGAGGGAGGTGGGAATCTGGGATTCTCTGCCTGAAAGTGTGGTTGAGTCAGAAATTCTCATGACATTTAAATGACTTAATACAGTTAATTGCCTAAAACGCTATTGGCAATGGTGGATCGGTTTAATGTGTGAACAATTTTAGTTTGAATGGTCATCGTTTGTTCCCCTCAAATGAAACTGACATGATTTTCCTTTTGTTGCAGACTTGCCTCGATTGTCAAGCCTTTTAGCAGAAACGACCATTGTTGAAATTCATCGTGTTGATCCTCAGGAGGAGCTAGGAATTCGGATAGTGGGTGGCAAAGATACACCACTGTGTAACATTGTGATTCAGGAGATTCTTCGGGACAGCATTGTTGCTAGAAATGGAAAGCTTGCACCTGGAGACCATATAACAGAGGTAACTGACTTCCTGCCGACAATACTGCTCCTGACTATGATCAGATGTACAGCCTAGCTTGTAAAGTCTTGGATTTCAGTTTGGTCTTTGTCTTAAACTTGCTAACTGAGACTGAGGTGGTTTATGCCACTTTAGATTATTAAACATTAACATACTTTTAAAATGATTACTCATTCAGGGAACTAAGGCGTGTAGTGGCTCAGCAAAGTTTCACTTCATTGTTGGATTTTTTTTTCATCCATGCATGGGATGTAGGCCAGCATTTATTGCCCATCCTCAATTGCCTGCAGAAGGTGTTGGTGAGCTGCCTTCTGAATCACTGCAGTCCTTGGGTTGTAGGGACACCCACAGTGCTGCTAGGAAGGATTTTGACCTAGTGACAGTGGAGGATTAGCTGTGAAGTTGCAATTCAGGATGGTGTGAGACTCTGAGGGGAACTTGCAGGTGGTGGTGTTCATGTGTATCTGCTGTCCTGTCCTGTTAGATAGTCATGGGTTTGCAAGATGCTGTCACAGAAGCTGTGGTGATTTCAATGGGTGCACATCTTTCAGCTGACTATGCAGACCTTGTGTAAAATAAAAAGGCTCAGCCTCTTTCTTTTGAGGCATAGCACCCTTTTATGTCGTATGCGTGTTTAGCCCTAATAATGTAGCAGTTCTTCCACATTCAAAACCAACAATTTTTCGGCTGATTGGTATAGATTATGTTCTTAGTGAGACTGGGATTAAGGCCTCTTGTAGCAAGAGTGGTTCTTGAAGCTTAACAAAGAAAACTTTAGGTCACGTGACTTGGACTTCCTTCTCCTCTTCCTAATTGTGACTGAAATAACTCCACAGAGGCCAGTATCCCAACACCAAGTCACCTTTTATGTACGCATGGAGAGTACATGACACTGACCCAGCTAACTCCAAGCTGGTTCCTAGAGTGAACAGAACCCCTGACACTCCTGTTTATATATTTCTTTAAATGGGTGATTTTCTTTTTTTTTAAAATTTAACCTATTTTTCTAATCAACCTATTCAGAGCTGTTATTACACATCTCTGAGACTTGAACCTCTCAGTCCAGCGGGAGGGACTCTACTTCTGCACCACAAGAGCCCCTATACACTCCTGTTTATATCTGTCAGCCAGGACTCCCTGATTGAGACCATAAATCTGATCCAATCAGGGAACTCATACACAATGAGATCCACCTAGCTGACCTCGTTCCAATCACTACAGTGACCCTCTCGGAGCTCTCTCTGTTAATCGCTCAAAGTGCTCTGTACCAACTGGCTGTTCTGCTACCCCAAAATCTAACCATGGCCACCTGCCAGCCTCCTAACAGTTTAGGTCTGACAGGTGTCTATGGGCATGCGTAAGCGTCTGGAGTTAAAATCCCTGCAATTCTGGAGTTTTTCTGGCTGTCTCCCGATTTAATGTTCAATAATGTTTTGATGCATCGATCAGACACACTGGATACACACTGTCAGGATCTCATCCTATTCTGTTCCTCTCAGGTAAATGGTGTGAACATTACCAGTGTTCCACACAGCTATGCCATCAAGATACTGAGGCAGCCCAGCACAGTCTGTCGGCTCTCAGTGCTGCAAGAAAGAGGGTTTGCCATTCGAGGTTCTTCACAAGAAAGGAGCAACAGCAGTCACAAGCAGACTCTGAACGTGACTTTGCACAAAAGAGACCGAAGTGAACCATTAGGCATTAAACTGATTCGGAAGGCGGATGAGCCTGGAGTGTTTATTTTGGATCTCCTGGCAGGTGGCTTGGCTGCTCGGGATGGCAAGCTGCGTAATAATGATAAAGTGCTTATGATTAATCAGCAGGACCTCAAAACTGGAACTCCAGAAATTGCAGCACAGATAATACAGGTAAATTCAGGGCTTCAGTGCACTCTGGTGATTCAAAACATGAGTTTTGTTTATAAGGATTAGACCATTTGAGACCAAGTAAGTACAGACCTTAGCTGATCACCACCGCATCTTATTTCTTGATGCTTTCTTTTTCTCACTGCTTTTCTGTTCCTCTCCCCCTCTCTTCCCATTTTTCTCCCACTTCCCTCTCTCCCTGTCCACCTTCCTGCCTGTCTGTCTCCTCCCCCTGCCCTCCAATCCATCTCCCTCCTTTCTTCCATCTCTCAACTTTTTCACTATCATCCTCCCTCTTTCTTCTCGTTGTCTCCTTTGTTCTTCTACCACTCACCCTTTCTCCCTCCCTTTTATCTCTGTTTCTCCCATGCTCTGCTGCAAATGCATATCAACCTAAATACTTTGTTAAAAATTTGGAATAAACTGTACAAAGACTGAACCGATTACTGTTCCTCTCTTTAGTCCAGTGAAGGAAATGTTAACTTTGTGATCCAGAGATACACTGGTCAGCAAAGCTCAGAGGTTATTGATGAAGCTGGATCAAGCAACAGCAGCCCCCCACGACAGCGTAGTAAATCACTGCAGCATCATTGCCGTCGACGCTCCCATTACCAAAAGGTAAGTGCAGCTAATATATGATGGTGAATGAAAACCATGTCTATGAGCTTTCCATCTGAGTTCTGTACTCACTCTGGTGACAGTTGAAACACCAAGCAAGCAAGTATTTTGACAAGTCCTAACCAAGCACAGAACAAAATGTCCTTACTTTCAGAATATAGGAATAATCACTTGATCTTCAATTCTTATTGGATTGCAAATCAGTCCCTGATTATTTTTGCCCCATTTGAAGAAGAGTATTGGAGACTACGGTATTTAATTCAGAAGTTTTATACGTTAATTTATTAATTAAACCTGATTTAATTTTTAGAATAAAAACAATGGTGCAATACTGATTCCAAATGAACTGTTATTGCCTTTATCAAAATAGGAATTGGGCAATAAGGGTGGTCTTATATATTTCATTTTTAATGTCTTTGGCAGAAAAATGAAGATGAGTACAATATTTATTGAATGTAAACTTCATTGGGCTATTAGATTGATTCATGTCATGTAGAAGGAGATTAGTGTTAAGTGAGGTGTGGCTTAAACAAGACTTTGTTTGCCAAATATCTGAACGATAATTGAAAGCTTGGTTTGACTGTATCTATTTTGAGGCAAGGTCATGTGATTTACTATTTAAGTCTGTTCCCTTCAGCGACTCCCAAAACAAATCCAAAATCAGGATTTTGTCTTCCTGCCAACATGACTGAAACCAAAACCATACGACATTTATCTGCTCGTTGACTCTGATACCTGGCAAGTTGTATCGTGAGAAAATGCTGACAAGCATTGAAAAAGCTGGAAGCTGTCAGTCACTGGTGGAGTCACTTTGTTCTTTAATGATGCCTTGAGGACCAAATGATTTCCTCTGAGCTGTTCTGTCTCGATTACATCAATGACGTGTGGCGACATAATGGAAATGAGTACATCTGGATTAACATGCCTGCTGTCTGACTTTGCTTTTAGTCTGCTACATCAGTGATGGAGTTTGCTCATGACAATGATATGAGAAGCACTCCACCCTTCTGTTAGCTTCCATTCACTGTTTTATGATTAGTTCTCAAAGCCTCCATATGGGTCAGTATCACATTATCATTAGTGAAAACATGTAGGCTCACATGGGTGTCTTCTACACATAGTGACTTACCCACCTGCAAGAATAGATAAACGGAAACATGACCCACCATCCAGTCCTGTGCTTGATGGACAGTTGAGAGGAATAAAGGCCTGGGGGTAAGCTACAACCCAGTCACTCCAATGGAAAATAAAATGTGTTAACTGAAGGGAAGGTCGGAGGAATATTTGAAAATGGGAGGTGGGAATAATACACCCTGGATTACTTCACTAATCTGAACCAATACCATTGACAATCTGTCATCTAAGTAATTATGTTCCTAGATTAGGGAGGGGGCCACTTTCATTTGAATTTCTGCATGGCAAATCTTTGTTGGGATATTTTAAAAAGATGTAATGAAACTGAAACAACATGGTCTATAATCCCTTACTAGTTTTGAAGTATGAAAGGGCTGAAAAATTATTCTTAGCATCAAATTAGCTGAAATTAGTCGTGCATTTACAGTTTCACTGTTTTTAGCCATCAATAATATTATCTCCTCTAAGGATCCGTCACAGAATTCATTGTGCCTAGAGAAGACAGTTCCAGTGAGAAAGGAGCCTCGTGAGTCTCTGGGAATAACTATTTCAGGCGGCCGTGAAAATAAGTATAAGGTTCCGATCTATGTGACCAGCATCCAGCCTGTGGGCTGCCTCTATAGGGATGGCAGAATCAAAAAGGGTAAATTATATATCTTCTTGGATTATATTTCAGTGACATATATTAATTGCAGCATACCTGTGCAGCCATCTGGCACTCTGTTAGATTTCAGCATACAGTATGATCCTATATGTATAGCTCTGCCTATTGTTTAGAGTATGTTATTGTACACTGAAATACCTGTACTTTAATTATCCTCTCCATTTGTAGTTTAAGCTAGCTAATTACTGCATCAAGTGTGGTATTCTCCTTTTCTCTTTATTAAAGTGTTTTCTAGCAGGTGCTGTTTATGTAAATGGCTCTCTTCATGCACAAACTTCAAACATTAATTATTAGCAAGATATTAACTGTAGCGGGCATCACAATGGAGTCCCAGCCTGCTCTCACCCAATGGACAAGTATCTGCACATCTGTTCAAAATCCATACTGCTGTATTTGATTTGCTTTCCATAACGTAGGGACATGAGCAAATTATATCATTTTTTAAATCTCTAACTTTGAAATCATTTAACTTGGCATCGAGCAAGGGCGCACAGCCCAGGGGCTTCCTGTTAATTGTCATTTTTTATTCTCTGCCTTGCTCTTATTCTGACCTTGATGTTCATGGTCAGCTTCAATGTTCTAATGAAGCTTGGTACTCTCATCTTGCAACTTAGAATTCATCCGCCCTCCTAGACTCAACAATTTCAGATCAGGATCTTTGTCTCAATAACTTTCTATGTCTGTTTGCTACTGAGAAAAATTGGTTTTGTTTTTATTTGTCTTTCTGTCCCTACACATTAAGTTCAGGCAACTGTTTCATAGCCATTCCTGCCCCATTTGGACATACTGTACCCATTACCATTCTCTTTGGCTTTTGCACCATGAAACCTTTATTTATTTAATCTTCCCTGCCCTCTAGCCTATCACAGACCTCTTATTCTCCCTACCTCTATCCACTTTCTTTAGCTTTAACAGCAATACCGTTTCTGTATGTATTTGGTTCCGATGAAAGGTCATCGACCTGAAATGTTAACTCTGTTTTTCAATTGCAAAAGATTCTCCCTGACCTGCTGAGTATTTCCAGCAGGAAAACAGTTTATTATTTCTATCTCGGATTTTGACCATCCGTAATAATTTGTATTTATATCAAATCTGGGTTACCTAGTCATCTTTTTGTTTTGCAAAAAGTATATTTAAACAAATTTTAGATCTGTATTCTCATTGATTATTTAATAGCATATCTAGGTTTTTGTGTTTGCATTTCATCAGTTGCAATTGTGTGCCCAGAAATAATCATATTGCTGGGTCAAAATTCTGAAACTCTCCTCCTACCTACATTGCATGGACTGCAGCAGTCCAAGGAGGCAGTTCAGCACCATCATCAAAAGGGCAATTAGGGATGGTGAATGCTGGCCTTGCCAGTGATGCGCTGCATTCTGTGAATGGAGAAAAAAATTGTAATTTGAAAACTGAAAGACAGCATATGTTACATATTGATATTTATTGGCTAGAGTTCCCATCCCTTGCTATGTTTTTATTTGTGCATTCATGAGATGAGGGCATTGCTGGCTAGGCCAGCATTTATTGCCCATGCCTAATTGCCAAGAGGGCAGTTAAGAGTCAACCACATTGTTGTAGGTCTGGTCACATGTAGGCCAGACGAGGTAAGGATAGCAGTTTCCTCTCTAAGGGATATTAGTGAACCAGATGGATTTTTCCGATGATCAACAATGGATTCATGGTCAACATTAGACTTTTCGATCCAGATTTCTTATTACTGAATTCAAATTCCACCATCTGCCATGGCAGGATTCTAACCTGGGTTCACAGAACATTACCTGGGTTTCTGGATTAACCGTCCAATGATAATACCATTAGGCCATTGCCTAGCATGCTTAGTATTATTCCCTCTAAACTGATCACTTTGTTTACCTTCCTGGTTCCCATGTTACTTGATGTTGCTTACAGTTCTGTCTCTTCAGTGACTGTTCCTCTCTCCTCAAATTCCCAACATCCCCTTCACTCCAAACAAGAACATGACCTCACTGTCCTTGCAGGCTATTTCCCCATTTCTAACCTCCTGCTTCTCCAAAGTCTTTCAATGTACATTTGCGTCCCAAACCTATGCCCATTGTTTTCAAAACTTGAATTTTTGAATCCCTCTAAACAGATTTCTGCCCCAATCATATACATTTTTCAAAGAGTCCAAATGACATTCTATGTGATTCTAATAAAGACAGACCAATTCTTCTGGCACTACTCATACTGCTTGCAATCTTTGACAGAGTTGACCACACCATTGTCTTCCGATGGCTGTCAAGTATTACCGTCTTGATGGGATGCATTCACCTTGTTCCTTTTCAGTTCCAGAGAATTGGCTGAAAAGGCTTCTCACTTTCACTGTTAAATGACAGACACACACACACCATGGTACTACCTTTTGTCCTCCTTATTTTTCATCTCTATGCTGCCTAACTGAAAGAACAGTGCCACTTTTCCTGAATCAGGTTGTTCATATTTGACCCCAGAATGCGTCCAAGTACATGTCAGCACCTTCACTATGACGGCCTGTTTCCATTTCTGTAATGTTGCCTAATTCTGCACATCTTAGCTGATCTGCTGCTGAAATGCTCTTTCATATGTCTGCTGTCTTTACAGTTGGCTTTTTCAAAGCGGTCTTGGTCAGCTTCTCCCACTCTAGAGGGCATCCAAATTCTGCTGTCCGTGTTTTTACTCTCACCAATTCCCATTTATCCGTCATCCCTGACTTTACTGATCTAGATTGCTAAACTGGGAGCCAATGTCTTGATTAAAAGTTCTCATACTTTCAAATTCCTCCATGGCCTCATTTATCTTTGAAATCTCTGCCAGTCCACAAATTTCTAAGACATTGCCATACCTTTAATTCAGACTTCTTGAGCATTAATGAGTTTAAATTGTTGTACTGTTAGTTGGCGTGCCTTCAGCTGACAAAGTCCCATTTACTAAAATTCCCTTGTTAAACCTCTCTGATCCTTTACCTTGTACATCCTTTTAAGACATGTCTTAAAACCTACCTCTTTGACCAAGCATTTGGATATCTACCCTGTGCCTCTTGACACATTTTGCTCTACAACACGTCTGTGAAGCATTTTGGAACTTTTTATTACATTAAGTGGGTGCTACATAAATACCAGTTCTTCTTGTCATCTAAAGATTTCTTCATGTTTTCTGATTTGAACTGAAATCAAAAATAGTTACCTTTTTATGAAGTAAAGCTGTTGCGATATCACAAGGCTGTTGTAAATCTCCTTTCCTCCATCTGTTTGTCCTTGTATTGTTTTCAGACAGAGTTTCAGCACAGGCGACTTGAGGGAAATGCGTAGCAGAGGAAGGAAAGATGTAGTTAATTGTCATTTTATGAAAGCTTGCTTTCTGAATCTTGGCACAATGCTTAATTTCTACTTTCATGTCTAGCTATGTTGATGAAACAAAGGCCACCCACATATATTTGTATACTCCGATTCTCAGATCCTGAAATGGGAGAGATGGAATGGTAGGAGGGCAGCAATCCATATTGTTTTATGTGGAGTCAGGAAGACACTAATCCAGTTGGGTTTTCTCCATTAGAATTAAGATTCTGATCGGTATCCCTTCATGTCTGGAACACTCCCATTTTCAATTTGGCAGCTGGCACACTTCCATGGGCTATCATGCATGAGAGACCGTGTGACCTGAAATTTATATTTCATAGTTTGTTTTTCACCCCAAAACATGGATGAAACTGCATTAAATTTTCACTCTCAAATATATTTCACGATGCAGAATGACTTAGCATAAGGTTTGTTCCTCAGACAGCACTCAATCTTAACAACAATTATCAAGTCCGGTAGAATAGACTTAATGACTGTTGACTGCATGCCACTGCTTTACTGCAGCAGTGTTAATTCTGATAAAGACACAAATAGAATCATTTTGAATAGGACAGGCTGCTCATGAATTCCCTTTTGTGTTTATTTCCCCTTAAAGCTTTTTGTCATGCCAATTTTTGTACTCCTAAACTGAGAGACATTTGGAAGACGATTGCCGCTGTTGATCACCTGCTAGTTATTTGGCTTTAACATTTTTATCGTTAGAATTTAGCAGTAAAATTAGGTTTGCCTCAGTGGCTCAGGTACAGAGTAGTTGCGACATAGAAACTAAACGGGCTTCCAAAGTACTGAGTCAGCTGTGATGGTGGCAAGTGTTGTAATTGATATCTACAGCCCTGTACTAAGGAAGGGAAATTCTGTGTGAATTCTTCTGATCATTGTCTGGCAACCTTTGCTAGAAACCTTGGAGTGGGTTGAACTAAACATGAGTAATCCACTAATTTTTTTAACTAATCTAATCCAGTAGGAAGCTGATGAGATCAGATTGGGTGGAGTGCAAAGGATAAGTGTGATTAAGTTAAAATTGCTCTTTGATGGTTAGAGCTGGCATATGAAGAATGGTTATTTGGACAAGCCGATATTAACCAACCTGACAAAGTCCTACAGGAGAAGACGAAAAAGAAACTTTGCAATCATGTATTCTTCTTTAGTATAGACATTCATTCTGAGATTCATAGTTTATCGTATGACACTAAAATGAGTCATTCTTTTTTTCATAGGAAATGTACTGCTGAGCATAAATGGAGTAGACCTCACACAGTTGAGTTATAACGAAGCAGTGTCAGTTCTCAAATTGAATACAGCCTCCTCTGCAGTGCTACTGAAGGTTTTGGACTTGCCCAATGCTGAGATGTCACCAACAACTGAGGAGCTCATGGAAGCAGGCAAGGAGAGTGATTATGATTGGTCCCCACTCTGGGTCACATGGCTAGGGTTACCAAGGTGAGCACTGGTCTCAAAGTAACGGGTGAAAAACTTTTGCTTTTAATGGCAGAAAGATTGCATGGAATAGAAACTGTTTACAATAATGTAAGCCCGAGTGAGTTAAGAAAAAGGATAAAGTTGTTTAATTGGTTTAGAACAAATGTAAATCTAGAATGTGTATATTGGGATTTTTTTACTGCCCCTTGAATAGGGTTAAAATCAACCGTTTTTTTTAAAAAGCAAGAAAACAAAAGTGGGGGAAATGATTTGATATTGAATCAGCGATAGCAGGAACTGCAGATGCTGGAGAATCCGAGACAACAAGGTGCAGAGCTGGATGAACACAGCAGGCCAAGCAGCAGCATAGGAGCAGAAAGGCTGACGCTTCGGGCCTAGACCCTTCATCAGAAATGGGGGAGGGGAAGGCGGATCTGAAATAAATAGGGAGAGGGGGGGAGGCGGATAGAAGATGGATGGAGGGGAAGATAGGTGGGAGAGGAAACAGACGGGTCGAAGAAGCGGGGATGGAGCCAGTAAAGGTGAGTGTAGGTGGGGAGTTAGGGAGGGGGATAGGTCAGTCCAGGGAGGACGGACAGGTCAAGGGGGCGGGATGAGGCAGCCCAATGGTATCAATGTGGATTTCACAAGTTTCAAAATCTCCTCTCCCCCTACCGCATCCCAAAACCAGCCCAGCTCATCCCTGCCTCCCTAACCTGTTCTTCCTCCCACCTATCCCCTCCTCCCACCTCAAGCCGCATCCCCATCTCCTACCTACTAACCTCATCCCGCCCCCTTGACCTGTTCGTCCTCCCTGGACTGACCTATCCCCTCCCTAACTCCCCACCTACACTCCCCTTTACTGGCTCCATCCCCACCTCTTCGACCTGTCTGTTTCCTCTCCACCTATCTTCTCCTCTAACCATCTTCTATCCGCCTCCCCCTCTCTTCGTAATTATTTCAGAACCCCCTTCCCCTCCCCCATTTCTGATGAAGGGTCTAGGCCCAAAACGTCAGCCTTTCTGCTCCTATGATGCTGCTTAATTTGATATTGATTTGGGATTGCTAGCAATTCAGTTCTCCATATTCTACAACTAACAGTCATCAAAAATAAAGCAGTGTTTTGAAACTAAACCTAAATGATTGAGTTTTGAAATCCTCAAAAGGAGGGGTGCTCAGTCTATGGTCCACCAGAACATTTCATACTGTCCAACACAGTCTTTGTTGATAGATGCGTTTACAGCTTATTCATAGGGTTCCCATAATTAATAACCACATAACCCGACAGACCAGGAAAAACAATGTGTAAAGTCGAAGTTTATTGGCTTTAGGGAGAAGGGAGAAGATGAGAGTTGCACCTTGGGGAGAAGGCAATGAACGTTAGCAGGCAGAAGGGAAGTGCGAGTTAGGCTGTGATGGTGAGAGGATTCGAGTGGGAATGATAGATAGTCAGGTCACTCCTAATTTTTCTTTAACTTCATTTATATAAAAAAAAATTGCCTTTTACCAAATTGTATTAAGTCTCTCCAGAAGAAAAACTTGGCCACTTTCATTTCAAGGCAAAATATTTGCTGGTAGGGTATTAGTTTTGGTGCAAACGTTTAGAATACATAGCCTGTGGATTATTTCTTGAAATTGAAGTTAAACACGTAGTGTAAGGCAGAGTGAATGAGAGTGGTAGGAGGAGAGAGAGAAAGAGGAGGGAAAGGAATGAGAATGTGGAAAAAGGGGAAAGGGAGAGGGAAAAACAGACTGAGAGGTGGAAACCCCAGGCAGAAAATTAATATCCTTCCAACCTTTGCTTGCATGTGAATTCTGCTGAGTCACCTCTGCATGTGCCCCATCAGATGCATCCCAAGATTAGCATCAGTGAAACCTAACTACTTCGTTCAGCCCGACATGACATAAATGGGTGATCATAAATTGGGGCTTTTTTTTTCTCTTTCTGTTTAACTCTGCTTCTTAACCATAGAGACAAAAATTAGCTTTGTTAATAAGTTTTTCTGATGGTCACTTTATGACAATTTCTATTACTTGTTTAAATTATCAATGTATTACTTTTGAAGTTCTTTTTGATGACATTCATGTTTTACTGTTGTGTTGTGGCAACCATTATCTTTCCAAAATTTGCTCACTAGCAGCCCCACCTCAGCCAAAAGAAAAATTGAAATGTGCTACCCCCATGTGAGGCTTGGCCACCCCTGCTCTAAATGTCATGAACACATCTTGTTCACAACCTTACTAAGACATGAATATTAGCAAATATTCAAACAAATTACAAAATTTCTGACACCGACAAAGAGATCCATTCTTTATTACAAAATGGATACAGCATAAAAGATGCGTATCTTAAACATTATCTTTTTAACTTGGTGTTAAATCGATGTTTAAAATACTTCTGATCAAGTGTCTGACATTCATAAACATTATTAAAATTATTAATCTTAACATCCTCTTTCCTGTTCTCCATTTGAAGTTATCTTCACTGTTGCAATGACATTACTCTGCATAAAAGTAATTCCGAAAGCTGGGGATTTAGCATCGTTGGGGGCGTTGAGGAAAGCCAAGACAACCAGCCTTTCTTTATCAAAACCATCGTACCTGGCACACCAGCATACTTTGATGGAAGACTAAAGTAAGTTACAACTGTTTTGACTGTCCTGTGAGGGGATGTTGACTAGTCTAGGCCTGTTTTCCTTGGACTGTAGAGAACAAGAGGTGACCTGATTGAAACACTAAAGGGCTTGACCAAAAAGGGAGGCGATGGCCTAGTGGTATTATCACTGGACTGTTAATCCAAAGACCCAGATAATGTCCTGGGGACCTGGGTTCAAATCCTGCCATGGCAGATGGTGGAATTTGAATTCAATAAAATGTCTGGAATTAAGAATTTTATGATGACCATGAATCCATTGTCGATTGTTGGGAAAACCCATCTGGTTCACTAATGTCCTTTAGGAAGGGAAACTGCCATCCTTACCTGGTCTGGCCAACTTGTGACTCCAGACCCACAACAATATTGTTGACTCTGAACTGCCCTCTGGGCAATTAGGGATGGGCAATAAATGCTGCCTAGTCAGTGATGTCCTCATCCTATTAATGAATTTTTAAAAATTAGATGCTGATACAACATTTATCCTGGCTGTAGAATCAGAATGTGCCCGGCACAAGGGACCAACTATTTAGGTCTGAGTTATGGAGAAATGCTTTCAATCAAAGTGTTATGGATCCCAACAATACACTACATCATAAAGCAGGGGATGCTCCCTTGTTGAATAAATCGAAGACAGATGGCAACAAATTTCAGGTACCAAGGAAATTAGGGGTACGGGAATAATGCAAAAAGGTGGATTTGAGAGTCAGGTTTTTGAACCGGCGAGCAGCTTCAGAAGACCAAATGGCCTACTTCACTTCATGTTCTAGAAATATCAGCCTAGTGTATGACTATATGGAAAAGGAAGATGATGTACTTATAGAGAGGAAGCAAAAATAGAGGATTAATTTTTGAGTAAATAATTGGTCAGACACAACCTACATTTATTATTGCTCTTCAGAATATAGAGGATTTTGTAACAAAAAGAATTAATTTTTAAATTGTGAATGCACCAATTTTGAAAAGTGACTTGTAGAGATTACAAACCTAGATTTTTATTTTAAAAATTTAACCAACTCTCCACTACTAAACAATTAAAGCCCCTTTCACAATGTATTTCGCAGGAGTGTAATCAAACAGAATTGGACATCGCTAAAAGCAGACATTAGGGACTGCTGACCAAATGTTTGGTCAAAAGCTAGATTTTAAGGACAATCTTTAAGGAAAGAGATGTGGAAAGGGATGGAGTCACTGTTGTCAGTGATGGGATGCACAAAAGGCCAGAATTGGAGGAATGCCAAGCTCTGAAGTCAGTAGGACTGGAGGTGGTTACCAAGAGGGTTAAGATGGAGGTCTTGCTGGACAGGGAATCAATACAGGTCAAGGAGCTAGTGAGATAGGATTTGGGCAGAAGTTTATAGACAATGGAATAAGGAGGCCAGTTAGTAGATCATGGCAATAGTTCAGTCTAGTTGTAACAAGGGCATAGCAGAGGGTTATAGCAGCAACTACGTGGGGACAGAGGTGGGAATAGTTAGTTTTTGAACGGAACTTCCAACCCCATAGTCTCCTGTTCAGAGTCAGAGTTTAATTTGGATAAATGTGAGATGTTGCATTTTGGTAAGACCAGGGTAGGACTTCCATAGTTAATGGTAGAGCCCTGGGTAGTGTTATTGAACAGAGACCTAGGGGTTCAGGTACATAATTCTTTAAAAGTTGCATCACAGGTAGACAGAGTGGTTAAGGTGTTTAGCACACTTGCCTTCATTGCTGAGACCATTGAATACAGGAGTTGGGATGTCATGTTGCAGTTGTAGATTACGTTGGTGAGGCTAGTTTTGGAATACTGTGTGTAGTTTTGGTCATCCTGTTATAGGAAATGTTACTGAATTGGAGAGGGTTCAGAGAGAATTTAGAAGGATGTTGCTGGGACTAGAGTGTTTGAGTTATATGGATAGGCTGGGACTTTTTCACTGAAGCGTATGAGGTTGAGGGATGACCTTTTATTTAAGTTTATAAAATTATGAGAGGCATGGATAGGGTGATTAGTAAGAATATTTTCCCAAGAGTAGGGGAGTTCAAAACTAAATGGTTTATTTTTAAAGTGAGAGGAGAAAGATTTGAAAGGGACCGGAGGGGCAATGTTTTCACACAGGATGGTTTGTACGTGGAATGAACTGCCAGGAGAGGAAGTGATGGATTCACGTACAGTTACATTTAATAGACATTTGGACAGGTACATGAATAGGAAAAAGTTTAGAGGGATATGGACAAAATTAGACTAGTTTACTTTTGGAAACTTGGTCAGCATGGAAGAGTTGGACCAAAGGGTCTGTTTCCATGCTGTATGACTCTATAACTACTCTTCTGCTCTGTTGTCAAAAATGCATGTTAAGTGTCTAAACTGAATCGGGTGCAATCTGGTAGTAGGTAAAAAGCCATGTGCCACACTAAATTTTGGAAACACTCAGCATGTCAGACAGCACCCATGGAAAGACTCAAAACCCTTTTCACTTCATTCCACTATATGTACAATAAAGGACTAGGCTTTGCTCGGCTTCATTTCCTTTCGTAAAGGCTACATTCTGATATGAATGAAAGCCCAGATCTAGGCAAAAACTACAAACTTTGTATGAAAATGGAATAACCTATGGAATCGAATGCTTCTTTTCATTGTGATCATGCTGAAAACCTGAGAAATTGTACCCATTCAGGTAGCTTATTTCATATGACTAGACTTGTATTTCCTTGAATAGGAAGAGCTAATTGAACTATTTAGGATTTAAAATAATTTTAGGGTAGATGGCAATAGCAGAATCCAGACCAAGAGGATATTATATAACTATAAAAGCAGAACAGCTGGAATGTCAGGGATGACATAAGCACTTCTTCAAAGCAAAGGGTCATGAAAAAGGGTCACTCCCTCTCCTCCAATTCTAAATAAAAAGCTCAAAGCTAGATCAAACTAAATCCTGTGAACTGAGATTGATTAATTGATTGGATTGCTGTTGGGCAAGGTTATTAAGGATTACTGGTACACGGAATTGAGGTATAGATCAGCTAGAAGTCTAACTGAATTGTTGAACAGGCTTTAAGAACTAAATGGCCTGTTCCTCTTCCTATTGCCTACGTGTCAGAGTAAATATCTTTGTATTGATTATCACTGAATAATCTATGCTCAAGATTCAACTCCTCTTAAGTTTTGACAGCATTGTTTTACATATTGTTTCCTACAGATGCGGGGATGAGATTGTAGCTGTAAATGGAGTTTCCACTGCGGGCATGAGCAATTCAGCTGTAATTCCAATGTTGAAAGAACAGAGGAACAGAGTCACACTTACTGTGGTCTCATGGCCAGGAAGTCATGTGTGAAAGTAAATTGATGCGACATTTTCCTCCGAAACTTAAGTCATGAAATGGCACAGTACAACCTAGAAAACAAGAAACTGCCCCAATCTGTAGTCAAATAGAAAAATACCAGATTATCAAAGTGCATTTGTTAAATCTCCTCTCTTTTTTAAAACCACAGAGACCTATGATTTCACTTTACTCCAGCAAAAGACAAATAGGTAAAGTAGTTTGTAAATGCAATGAGTGAATCATGGGGTGATGGGATAAAAGTCAAAGTCCGACCATAATTTTCCAAATGAATATCCAGTGCAGGAGTTCCCACTTTCAACAATCTGAATAAATTTCTTAATGCAGTTTTGTGGTCGTACAGATAATCCTGTACAAGGGTGTCATGGTTGTGCTGCTTCAAGGCAGAATGAAGCATCTTCTAATAGCATGGCTATAGCCAAATCAAACATTGCTCTTGAGGCAGGAAGCTGAACTTGCACGTTTGTCAACAATGTTTGCAGGTCAGGCTCCATATTTAAACTGTACTTCCCTTGGATCTTGTGACAGTTCACTGGTCTCTAATCTTATCTGGTTGTTGGATACTAAAGGATACTGCACGAACGTCTGTAGGCAATTTGATGTATTGAAGCCTTATATGCTAATACCGCCAGGAACATTCCAACAAGGTGGGCATTAGTACCTGGGAGCATGGAGCATGTAAATGAATATCAGTTGAGAACCAAGTGGGGTGGAGAGAAAAGGAAATATTGTAATCTCTAGTTTAAATTTGTTAGAATCAAAGTTTTCCATTCTACAGAAAAATCACCAGTGTATTTTCTTAAAACTAAAACTGTGCATTCTATAATTCTCCAGGTTGTTGCAATTTTGGCAAAAATGTTTTTGCACTGGGGCTTTTCAAAAATGCTGCTGTGATTGAAAGTTAAATTATAAAACCTAAGAAAATTGGTTCATTACTGCCTTAAGAGGTTGTACAACTGATTGTGAACCATAAATATAAATGTAAGCTTTAGCAAAATGTCTGAATTTTATATAAAAATCTTAATCTGCAATGTTGGACTTAATGTGCATTGAACATAAACTATATTTAGAAAAAACTTTTTTAATTTTTTTTGTTTTACAAGCACATTTTACAAAAAAGACAAGTGTAAATATGTAGAAAGGTGGGATCAGACTTCTCTTTGAAATATTATGCAGAGGCCATCTTCAGCATTACTGTCCATTTTTAGTTTTTTTTTTGTTTTAAAAGGTGCTGTGAATGCAACTTTTACAGGAAATGATCCAAAACAGAGCTAACTGTTCGTCGTGAGTAGTATTCTCCAATGAAGACTACCAACTCAGCAGTTAGTCTTTAGTTTCAGTTCCCTCAGTCTCTGCAGCACCTTCATCCCCAATTTCTTTGTCCTCTTTGTTTCGTTTATTTTTCTTGTGTTTGTGACGTCTGTGACTTTCTCCTTCCTCACTCTCATGTTGTTTGCTGTGAAAATAAGTCAACAGTAAAACTTGTGTACAGAACAGTGAGCTACAAGCATGGGCGAATTGCTTCAGGATGGCTCCTGTGCATTTGGTTTAACTATCTTGTGAGCCACAGAAATCCCAGCAAGCTGCCCATTTCCCCGGGTTCTCGAAGTAAAGGCACATGAAGAAAAACCACACAAGATTTCCAATAAATTACACTAAATGTTATTCATGTTCAGTTACTGAACTGAGCAAAATCCCTTGAGCACTGTGTGAAAACAGCACTTTCAAAATACACAGGGATTTTCTCTCCAGTGATGTGAATATCAGCATAAAAGCAACAAGGTTGTTTAGTCAAATAACTAGCTGCCATTCACTGTTTAGCCCAGACATGAATAATGACCACATGACTGAGGTACTTTGAGTTCCTGTGAAACCATCACTTTTAGGGTTGAAAATTAACTGGCAAAATTATGATTAATGCTGTAAATCACCAACTCCTTTTGTTGCAAAGCATTATTGGCATGCAGTAGCTAATGTTAGCAAAGGGGGTGACCAGTAACAGTGTAGGAAAACAGGATAGACTCAAAGTGGGAGATGGTGGAGAAAAGGTGCTGCCATTTGAGGAATTTGTCTGATGTGCAACAGAGTGTAGTTTGAGGGGTTGTGAGGTGTTTGGGCACAAATTTATTTGCAGGACAACTTTTGGATGTGACCTTTTCAGAGATGCAGCTACTCAGTGGCTGGTGAGGATCCAGTATGGACTAGGAACATCTCTCAAGAAGAGAGAGAGAGAGAGAGAACAATTAGTTTTAATCTATACTTGGTAGAGTTTAGAAGAACGAGAGGAGATCCATTTGAGATATCTGATGTGCTAAAGGGGATTGACAAAGTAGACTTTGAGTGGATATTCTAGATTACCCTACCAGGGGAAACAAAAGGTCAAAGTTTTGGGCTAAAGGGTGGTAAATTTAAAACACAGATGAGGAATTACTTTGCTCAAAGGGTCATGAATCTGTCAAATTCACTACCCCAGAGTATGGTGGATGCCAGGCGCTGAATAAATTTAAGGAGATAAATTTTTAATTAGTAATGGGTTGAAAAGTTATGGAGTGCAAGCAGGAAAGTGGAGTTGAGTTCAAGATGAGATCAGCTATGATCATAGCAGGCTCAAAGGGCTGAATTGCCTACTCCTGCTCCTGGTTCTTGTGCTTTTACAAGGATTCACAAAACTAGCCACAGTTTGGACAGGTAGCAACTGGGAAGGTTTGGGAAGAGTGGTGAATTGGAGACAAAAAATAGCAAGCAAGAGGAATCTTGAACCAGTTACATGTTTTCATTTTTAGCTTTTGTTTTTAGGAACCTATCAGGAGTGCTTAAATGAGAAATTCCTGTAAAGCACCTTAATATTCTGTAAAGCTAAATTCAGATATATAGTTTCCGGAAGTGTTCACATCAAGATTGGTGGAGCTGGCTTGAAGGGCTAAATGGCCTACTCCTGTTCCTAATGCTCACCAAGTTATAGTGTCAGGTCTAAAGCACAAAAAGGCCCTTCAAGCCTGCGCTGGTCAAAAACAAGCACCGATCTATTCTAATCCCATTTTCCAATATTTGGCCCATGGCCTTGGCATTGCAAGTACAAATCTAGATACTGAAAAGTTGTTCAATCAGAGAAGCAGATGTAACATTAGGTATTACGTTCCAGATTTTGCAATGCATGCAATAGTTGAGTATTGGCAGTACTTTGCCTATTGCAAACGGGTGAAGTGATGTACAGTTTCACAGATACACAGCAATGATCTGATTAGGGTAGCTATTATCCTGCAGCATAGCTTTGATGTGCCTTATTTTGGTGTCAAGCTTACTGTGAGTACATGACTTAACTCCTGTTTGAGTCTACCAATAAGGCTAATCTTAGAATGGGGCTGGAGGAATCTCGATGCATATTCTGACTAGTGAGGGTAGGTTGCAGGAAACAGTAGTAGAGAAGCCATTAGTAGATTTCTCAATTAGCACATCAAGGAAGCTCATTAGATTGGAAATAAAACAATGTGAATTTTAGTGTGAATAGAATGCATTAAGGTGAGTAAGAAAATTCTTACAAGACCATTTAATGTTGTTTCTACCTTGGCTCATATCCATAATTGCCTCAATATTGGAACAAAATTCAATCCACACTTGGATGGAAAAAAGGTTTATTGTCAGTAACTGCATTTTCCTTTCCAAATCAATTTTTCTCCATGCTATCCTTCTCTCTGTCTTCAAATATTGGAGCCTATCCATTTGTGCATTGTGTTTTCCCCTTCCATTGTATAAAATTCCATTATTTTCTCCCATTAAGTGGTCTAAGGCCTTCTTTCTTAGGACTATGATACAAGTGTTATTTTTCTTCATAGCACAACTAGAGAACACCAGAAACTGTCATTAAAGACTGCTTTTTGGGACTCCTATTGTGTGGGGTCTTCTGTCCCTACCTCTGGGCAGAAGATCCAGGTTCAACTTCTGCCTGCATCAAACAATGTGTCATAACTTGCCCAAACAGATTGATTAAAGCCTAATGCTGCTGTATCTCCTTGCTACGCTTCATCTTTACAACAACAGCACTGTCTGTCATAGCGCTCATTGGCTGACTCATAGTTAACATGAAATATCACTAGAAATAAAGTGTATATGTCCTGAAGAGAATAGAAAACACATACCGTCTTGAGGATTTGTGTTTGGAATCATCTTTGTCCTTGTGCCGCCTTTCTCTGTGGCGATCTTCTCTGTCTCGACTGCGATCTCTGCTCCGATGATAGTCTCTGTCATAGTTACGTTCTCTGCTAATGAAAAGAGCAAAAGCCTTTATGTTCGCTGCATGAAGTCAGTGGATCGTGAGCGCAGCAAGGGACCCCTTTTAACCTGCAGCAAGCTATTAGGAAAGCAAACTGGTCTTCATTGCAAAGGAGTTTGAGTTCAGAAGTAGGATGTCTTACTGAAGTTATGCAAGACCTTGGTGAGACCATACTTGGAGTAGTGTGTGCAGTTTTGGTCTCCCTACCTAAGAAATGATATACTTGTTATAGAGGGAGTGCAGTGGAGGTTCACTAGGCTGATACCAGGACTGGCAAAGCTGTCCTGTGAAGAGAGATTAGTTTGACTGGCACTGTATTCTCTTACGGAGTTCTATACAGAGTTTAGAAGGATGAGCAGATCTGATTTAAATGCATAAAATTCGAACAGGAATAGACAGACTAGATGCTGGGAGAATGTCTTCCCCCGCTTGGACAGTCTAGAATCAGGGGACACAGTCTCAACGTTTCGGGTATGGTGACCCTTCCTCAGAACCGGACCTGAAGACGTTAATTCTGGTTTCTCTTCGCTAATACTGCCACATCTGCTGAGCTTTTCCAGCAACTTCTGTTTTTGTTTCTGATTTACAGCATCCGCAGTTCTTCCACTTTTTATTTGACACAGTCTCAACATACACCATTTAGGACTGAAATGAGGAAACGTTTCTTTACTGAAAGGGTAATGAACTGGTGGAATTCTCTAACATAGGTTTTAGTGCAGGTCAAGTCAATGAATATATTCAAGAAAGAGATGGATGCCTTCAATTACAAAAACTTAATCTACGGATATGAGAAGCAGGAACATGGCACTGACACAGTGGATCAGCTATGATCATACTGAATGGCAACTCCTGCTCCTAATTTCTATGTTTGTCTCTTTGCTGCCCTGTGTCAAACTATATCACAGAACCTCTTGAAGC